GCCGGTCCTAAGCGCGCACCGGGGCGCGGAGGCCGCTGAATCCAGGGGTTTACGTCCCGGTGTAGGCGAGGAGCCTGGCTGCCTCTGTTCACACAGCTTCTCTGGACGGTCCGGCCACAGCCACGCGCCCACGCGCCAGGACCGACCCCCACCTTCCCTCACAGCAAGGAGGGGGGTCGTCGGCGGAGGCTCCTAGGGGATCCGAGGGAAGGACGGCTAGGCATTCCGCACCGGACGCCAATTCGTGCTTCTTCAGATGGGCCGTGAGCCTGGGACCGAGGCTGCCCTGGGCTAGGACAGGGCGAGGGTCAGGAAGGGACCGGGCAGGGTCGGGAAGGAGAGGGGGGCGTTTGAAGAGACAGGGCTGAGTCTTTCAGCCCCAGCGAAAGGAGGGCCCAGAGGAGGCTCCAGAGGACCCCGAGAGCACAGAAACACCCTGGACCGTGCTCTTCCAGCAGTGCCATCCTGGGACGCCCCAAACCTGCCATAGCTCCCGTGTACCGGAGCCCCCAGGGCTACAGAGGGGAAGGCCCGCAGCCCCAGGACTGGCCACAGCCTGGGAGTGACTTCCAGCCAGCAGAGCCCCTGTGGCCACTCAGCCCCTCCAGACCTAGGGTGACAGTTGCGACCAGGCCTGGCACTGCCCAGGGCGCAGAGGAGACCACCAGCCAGACCCAGGGATGCCCAAGTTTGCGTCGCTGGGAAATGGGGAGCCATCTGGGTCTCCAGGGCTTCCTGTGGCCAAGTGAGGGCAGTATGAGCACGTGTGGCGTGAAAACACGCAGCCAACAGAGTGCACGTAGGTCTTCTGGAAGTTGACCACAAAAAGTGATAAAGAACTGCGCCCATGCCATTTGGGTCAGTGGGACTGGTGGCAGGGCTGGGCCAAGCCCTGGGGATGATGGCCCCCCCTACCCCTTCCCCACCCTGCCCTGGGCAGTGCAGCTGACCTATCCTCCCGCATTTCTTTGAACCTGCTTGGAGAGAACCACTGAAATCGTGTGGTCTCCCCCTGCTGCTGTAGCAAGTGACCATAAGTGCAGGGCCTTAAGGCAGCAGTGGGGCCTCTTCTGGCTCCTGGGGGAGGAGATGGGTCCCCGTGGAGGCTCAAATGACCGGGCCCCTCGCCCTCCAGCCTCTGAGGCCCTGCACCTGGGTCAGGCCCTCCCCCATGTCAGCAGTGCGGGCCTCTGGTCCCTGGCACTGCCCTCAGGCCGGACTCCCCTAAGAACCCCCAATCCCACACAGGGCCCACCCGACACTCCAGGATGACCTCCCATCTCAGCATCCTTCTCCTGCCCACACCTGCCAAGGCTCCAGTGCCGCAGGCTCCACCCACAGGTTTGAGGAATTCGGATGTGAATGTTTGTAGGGGTGGGCAGCATCCTGCCCGGAACAATCAGGTGGCAATCAGGCGTGGCAGAGACTGCACAGCTCTCAGAAGGAGAAGGTTCTGCGGGACACAGTGGCTCACGCCCGTAATCCCAGCACCTTAGCGGCAGAGACGGGATGGAGGATCACTTGAGGCTTGGGCAACACAGTGAGACTCCATCTCTACAATAAGGGAAAGCTTCTGCCTTGTGTCCCCTTCATCCACGTCCCATGGTCATGCCTCCCACAGCTAAGCCGATGCTCAGTCGCAGGCAGGAAAGCCCCACTGCCCCCCACCCCCCCGAGCGCCTGTACCCACCAACCTGCTCCAGGTGAATCTTGCCATCTTGAGAATGTTCTGTAAGTGAAATAATCATCACACGTGCCCTCTTGAGACTAGTGTTTAAGAAAAAAAACTTGGATGGGAGTCTGGTGTTTTTCTCGCAGCGTTGTTCCCTCAAGACCTGTCCAGGTCGTGCCTGTCAATGGTCTGTTCCTGGTCGCTGAGTTGCAGGCCATGCAATGGAGTCACCCGTCAACTTAACCACTTGTGGAAGGACCTCTCAGCAGGGGTTTTCCCACCGTGGAGCTATTCAGATGAAACTGCTGTGGACGTCCCTGGGGGTTGTGGATCTAGGCATTGTGGACATATGGCTTCCCACCCTGGGGTGAGGGCCCAGGAATGTAGCTGCTGGGCCTTATGGCATGAGGACATTTCGTTTTCTAGAACCAGCTGGCTGTACTGCAGTGCGTTCCCGCCAGCAGAGAGTGAGAGCTCCGATCCCCTGGCATTGGGTGGGTCTCCGTGATAACGGCCCCACTGGTGGGTATGTCGTGACGCCTTGTGGTGGTGGGAGCCTGGAGAACTGCCCAGTTCCCTGGGAGGGAGGGCACCTGGAAACCTAGTCAGCACACGTGGCCGGACACCAGGGCTCTTGCTTGGGATGGTGACTGGGCCCAAGCCCAGAGAGGCTGCCGTCCCGTCAGAGTCTCCTTGGAGACATGGCCCTGGTCTAGGAAGCTTCTGGAAAAGCCAGGCCCTGGAGGCCAGAGGTGTGGTGTAGGGCTGGCCACCACAGTGCCCAGGGAGAGTGCCCACAGTGCAGGAGGCAGCTGTGTCCCTCTCGAGGCCCTATGCCTGCAGGACAGTGTCGGGTCCTACCCCAGGCAGGCCCTGGGTTTGAAGGGATGGGCTGGTCCAGCTGTGAGGGTTCCCAGCCTGGCTTTCCTGGATTCTCTGTGAGGAACATGGGTGGGCCTTGAGCCTTTTGTGCAGTTGCCTGAAGGCCACCTGAGTCCTGGCTTACTCCCTAGAGGTGTGGGTAACAGTAACCAGGGAGGGCCTTCATTCACTGCTCCCATCACTCGCTGCTCTTGAACAGGCCAGGGAGGCACAGGCGAGCCTTGCTGTCCCTTCCGATGCTCCGAGGCTGGGCTTGCTGCAGGACACGTCCCAGAAAGCACGTTGGTGTGGGGGCTCCCTGAGGTGTGGGGCCTCACCCCGCCCTGTGGCTTCCTGGGAATGCAGGCATCCGTGTCCTTAGCCGCTGAGGCCCTCTGCCTCCTCCCGGCTCTGGCTGTGCTGTGTCCTCTGCCCCCCCTTCCCGTCCTTTGTGGACTCTCTCTTGCTCCTTAAACCACCTTAGGAAAACCAATAAAAAAGATTTAGGGCAAAAATCCCTCCGAACGTGCTTATTTAATCCTTATACCTGGACAAACACAGCTTAGTTCCTGTTTTACGTCTTTGGATGTCTGCACTCCTGAAGATTATTTAATGAAGTTTAAGAAAACAGTGGGATAAGATTTTCCCCTCAGAGGCTGAAAGGTTGAATTTACTCAGAATTAAGTCCTTCAGTCACTCCCCAGGAATAGCAGGCCGCCCGGCTCCCTCCCAGGGCACGTGGGCTCCTCCCTAGGGCTCCTCCCTGGGCCTGGGACTCTGTAAAGCCCTCCGAAAATGGGCCCTCAGCTGCCTGGGGGAAGCAGGAGGGCAGGTCAGTGAGCCAGGGTGTGGCTTGGTCCCACCCAGAAGCTGGAGGGCAGGGAGGAGAGGGGAGAGGCAACAACCACAATGTTGGCTTTTGTTTCACCCAGAAAGGGGCTTCGTGGTCTTCCCTTTTAAAGAAGACTCCCAACTTGAACTCAAAAGAGTCCTCAGACAGAAGAAAGAGTCCAGCGTAATACCAGATGCCCTCGCATCCATGCATGTGCCATCTCTTGCTGAGTGAGTGCATCAGGCTTCCTGCCCTTCCTGTGTGCTGGCCACGCTTTCCAGGTGGCACTTGGAATGGTCTGAGCAGCTCTGGTCAGAGCCCTCCACATCCTACTTAAATATCCACCACAGCCTCTGCCTTGCCAGAGAGTAAAGTCCCAGCTTCCCTCTGGCTTCCAACCCTGATGTGGCCTGGCCTGGCCTCCTGTGTGGGTCTCGGGCCGGGACCTTGAAGACCCAAAGGAGCTGGGTCCACAGAGCCGCCGGGTGTCTGCCAGGTACCCAGATGCTTACTGGAAGAATTCGCCAATATTTTGGGTCTCAGGATTTGTACAGGCTCCATTTAATCAAATATGAACGTACAACCAAAAGTCTCCAAGCATGTGAGAAAACTATGAATGAGTGGGAAGAAACCCACCCAGACACAACATACTCAGAGGTGCACACCTGCAGCTGTGGAAGTGATGCTGTCTGTCATGTGACATACATCAAGTATTGTTAGAGGCAAGTATTGTTAGAGGCAAGACTAAGAGTTCAGGCCAGGAAGACTTGAAGAGACTCAGACAGAGCTTCTGGAAATAAAAAGGGAGTGATGAAAATGCAAAAATTGAATTAAGCACCAAATTAGCTCAGAATTAGCAATATGGATCATAAATTTATCTAAAAGAAGCTACACAGACTTGGGTGTGCAGAGACAAGAACGCTGAAAACATGGAGAGGTCAAGAGAGGGGATCCACGGAATGGGAGGGCCTGCAGGAGGGCCTGGGTGTGACAGCCCACGCCTGTCATCCCAGCACTTGGGGAGGCTGAGGCAGGAGCACTTAAGGGCAGGAGCTAGAGATCAGCCTGGGCAACATAGTGAGACCCTGTCTCTAAAAGGAAATCTAAAAACCAGCCTGGCACGCATCAGCCCAGCTACTCAGGAGGCTGGGGCAGGAGGATCGCTTGAGCCCAGGAGTTTAAGGCTGCAGT